TGATAAATATTCAGATGGAAGACGAACAAGATAATTTGAAAAATAATATTCAAGATGAACCATTAGCAAATGAAGTACGAACGAAAGAAGGTAAAGATAAATTACATACAAATGATAATGAAGATTTTACTTGTGTTATGCTTAGTAAAAGTAAATCATGTGGTTACTAAATTTTCATATAACCTTTTTGTTTTATATAGCATCTGAATGCAAGGAATCAACAAATATATCTGCTGTAAATATTGTTGTTCCTAATCCATCACAGTGCAAAGAAGAAGAAGAAAAAGTAATATTATTTTTTCTTCCATAAATTAATTTGTAAAATTTTTTTTTTAATCTCTGTAGGAAACATGTGAAGATAAATTTATTTATAAAACAATACATGATAAATCAAAAGAAGGACCAACAAAATCTGGTGGTAAACAATTTGATAATGTTATTCGTGAACAAGCAAAAATAAAACAAATTCATCATAGTAGTTGTGGAAAACCTGTTCATGAAACTGGTAAATTATTAACAACTGAAAACAATTGTATAGTAAATAATATTAAAAAACTTACATTATATGATGTGGTACCAATGACTAATTTACTCATCATAGCAAGTGAACAAGCAATAACTCGATCACATGAACGGTAAAAAAAATGAATTTTAATATAAAACCATCCTGTTATTTTGTATTCTAGAGGAAATTTTATGGAAGGTAAATTAATTGAATTAAAAGAAGATTTAAGTAAAACACAAAAGAAGAAATAGCTAGGTCAAGCGAGCTTTTGTCTATTCTTGATCAGTAAGAAATAATAATAAAATTAACCATTTAACACAAGAACAAACTTTTTTTTAGATGTGAAGAAATGGCTAATGATCTTACAAACGTGGGATGTGGGGTGTGGTGTGTGGGTGTGGGTGGGTGAGGTTGTGGGTGTGTGTGGGTGGGTGAGGTTGTGGGTGTGGGTGTAGGTGTGGGTGTGGGTGTGGGTGGATCTCCATCTTCTATAAAAACTTACATCCACACACACCCACATCCACACGCCAACATCCACACTCACACCGCACGTCCACACCCCACACCCACACACCCACACATCCACCCACACCCAGACTCAAATAAAACTATTCCTCAATCAATCAGAGTCTGAAGAGCATCCTTGCCAACTAATTTCCGTAGGCGATTAACTATCTAACACACGGAAAATACCGATATATATATATATATACATATCTAAAAATAACAAACAATTCTAATACCTGCTGGCACATACCAAAAACATACCATAAAAAATAGAAAAGCAAGAAATCAGGCTCCACCGTACCGACCATTTCTTTCTCTCTTAACTTAGAGAATAATCATACAGATCAACATTGTGATTGAAGACAACTGATGATTTATTTAGCCGAGATGAAATCTAGATATGGGCAGCTGAATCCCACCCACATCCACATCCACACCCACACCCATACACCCATCTCTGCTCTCGCATCCTCACCCTGAAGAAAAAGAGAACCTTCGGTAAATTAAAATGACAGACTCTACGTGATAATTACTAAATGGTAACATGATAAATTTCCGACAAACAAGTCAATAAATCAAGCCTGACATTGAACTGTGGATGAAACACCACGTATCAACAGGAATTTTTTCTTTTTTTTTGTTCATTTCAGTTGATTTATGCTCGTACTAAAGCCCCATAAACGCCAATTATTGATAGCCGTCTGGCTGATAGGACTGACCTTCCTCGAGGTGATAGTGCATGGCCAATATTTGCAATACTCGTTAGTGACTGTAGCACCATATCGTGACTGCTTTTTGTCACCGATTTATGAACACCGAATTTTTTCTGTTTTGTCATATGATTACGTTTACTATTGTTATCGGCTACCATCGTTAGTTCCTTTCAAAAGAAGAACATGTTCTTCTGGTAAAAAGTGGACGTTTGATCAATTACGGAGAAATTCGACGTCATTTAGAACACTGCTCGAATGGAAAGTTCCGATTGATTTGGTGAGTATCTATGCTCGATACTTGAATAATAATGAATCAAGCGACGGCGAAGATTTTATATGTCGCTGCACAACCAAAAACACATTTGGACGTTTCTGTGAATATATTTATGGACAAAAACCGGGCAATACCTACAAGACATTTTACGAATTATTTGACGAGAGCCTTTTAAAACGACAAGATGGCGGTGTATCAGCTTATAATTCAATGAGACAACGAGAGTGTTATTCACTACTGCGTACATGTAGTGCGCTATGTCTTGATTGGCGTGATTTATGTGATGGGGAGTGGGATTGTGCCGCAGGAGAAGATGAGATGTCTTGTGAACACCTAGACTTGAACGAGTGTAATGAAAACCAATTTCGCTGTCGCAATGGATTATGTATTCCAATTGAATGGTTCATGGATTCAATATTAGATTGTGTCGATGGCACCGACGAGCTACGTAAGCATATCGATGATCCTGATGCGTGCTACAGCATGTCATCAATCGACTGTTCCGAAGTTGCATGTGGCGAAAAACAAGCATATTCATGTGGAGATGGGCAATGCCTTTCATGGCGTGAACGCTTTTACAATGATCATACGCCATTTTGTAAAAATGGACTCGGCTTTTTCGGTATATGTGAATCAATAGGCTTTGTTACGAAAGCCACAGGCGATTGCTTCAATTGGTTCTTCGTTACAGTAACCAACATGTCAGTACCATGCGATAAACTGGTACGATGTGCTGCAGTGACTGATCGTAGGTAAAGTCATCAATTTCGAATAAATATTTCCTTTTATGGCTGTTTGATGCAAAATTTCAGATGAAAATTTTCTGGTTAATTTTTATTATTTTCAAATACTCCTTTTGCGTGACGCTCATCTAAAGAAAATTTTTCAGGAAAAAATCAATGCTTGAGTTATATCTAACTAATTTTAGTTCTCTAGTCCGATAAAAAACTTTTTTCTTGATTATTGAACATGTTTATAGCTAAAATTCTCCTTTTATTCCATAGTTGTACAAGTGATGACGTTGAAAATCTACAACAACATGTACTTGATTATTGCTTTCAGAATACAACACATGGTTATTTGTATTCATTGCCTAACATTTTATCTCCATTTGTCGATGCCTACTTTACACGCGAACAATTTGAGTCTGATGACGAAGACACTACGCGTCTACCTGCTCTTTTCTGTTCTTCAGATAAAGCGAAGTGTTTGCATTTTCATAATGTTTATAATGACAAATATCCATTTCCTCCATTTGAGTATCTATTTGGGCAACAACAACCCTTACCTGATTACTGTCTTAATTCCAATGCCTATTATATTTGTCCAAATACGCACAAATGTATATCGAACTATCGATTACTTGACGGATTCGGTGATTGTATCGATCGATCGGATGAAAACCCTAATTTACATCGACAACTCAATTCTAAATTCACTCGACATCGATATAGATGTGCAATACAAAATGGTGAAACAATATTACCACATCTTTTAGGTGAGATGATAGTTAACAATCAGGTAGAACGTACATCTACACGATTTTCAACAATGCATTCCGCTAGGATGTGTTCGAGTTGATCACTCAAATGCTCACTGAGATATATTGTTGAAGCAACGATTAAAATAATTTTAGTTCATGTAACATAGTCCACAAATCTCTATAAAATCCGTAATTGACCTGCTGCCCCATAGTCGAAAATATACTACGAGGATTACATTTAGCAGAAAGACATTTTTTTCTTGTACAAAAATCTTTTTTGATTATATTTCCTGGAAAAAATAATTTTCTGAACAAGATAGGTAGCAATGAAAGTAAGTTCTGAATCTAGATAATGTTCCTCAACCGATCCGAAGTCCATGTCAAGTGTGTTGTCGCTTGAAAAACCATGATCTTTCATTACATACATAGCTATTGTCAATACTATAGTTACACTATATTTCATAAGGTGACAGACGATTAGAATAGTCTCTAACAAATAGATGATTTTTAAAGTCATCAGAATAATTGATAAGAAAACCATCATATTATATAGGTGATGGTAACAATGATTGCTCGGATGGTAGTGATGAGTTCGAGTTTACCTCGGATCGCATTATCAACTGGCGCGAGCAAGATTGCCATAATATTGATAATACCATCTGTCGACTGATACGAGGTGATGCAATAATATATGTTGATATATACATGAAAGACTTGTGTGATTCAAAGTCCGATTTACAGCATTCACTCGATGAAATTGATTGCGGTCCTGAATGGATTTGTCCGAAAGATTGGAAGAAAGGTAGAACTCGGACATCCGGTTCTTGTCTTCATCCAAGCCTATTTCAAGATGGCAAATATGATTTCTTGGACGGAAGTGATGAATTGCATGATGATGCACCGTGTATTCATGGACCACATCCATGGCTGAAGTGTGGAAGCAATTATAGTAGTGAAATCATGTGCGAACAATTTGGTGATGGCAATATAAACTGTATTGGTGCGCTTGACGAGCAGCGAAGATTGACATGTGACAAAAATGGTGGAATTAAAATTCAGTTTTATTGTCGAAGTGATAGTCGTTGCCTGCCGATCTCCTATATTTGTAACGGTGTTCCTGATTGCTCTGACGGAGAGGACGAGAATGAGCTCCTATGTGGTCCTCGTGGGGGTTGTCAAAATGGATCATTTGCTTGTCTTGATAGAGCTGTCAACGGTAAATGTATTTCTTCCAAACGTGTCTGTGATGGTAAAAAGAACTGCCCAAATGGACGTGATGAAGAAACTTTGTGCTGGTGGCGAGTAAAACATCCAAATAGTCGTAAGAATGAATCTATCTCTGGTAAGACTCATTTCAAGAATGATTACATGTAATCCAATTGCATATTCATGACATTTGGCAAGATGTATTAAGATATTTTGTTGAGTTCACCAAAAATCGACTTGTTTGACACAATCGTCACAGTCAACTTTTCGTTTGTCTAGAATCCATTAGATTTGGTACGAGGAGATATCTATGGATAAAATTTTTAAATATTAGTAGTCATCTTTCGTAAGTTAGTTGGCATGATGTCCACGGCTGTAGACAGATCTGCAAATATAAAGTAGAAAATTTAGTGTTCGTGCTCGTATGTAACATATTGCAATTCTATGTGCTATCTTCGAGGTTTTCGACAAAAAGAAAAGACAGCAACGTTCTATTATCTTCCTCTTGAAAAGTTAGTGACAAAAATCGCTCGAGTATTTCTGTATATCCATTTTTTTATTTTCGACGCGTCTCAAGTGTATATCGGCAATGTAACTACACGCGTCTATATGCGTCCAAAATGCAACATTTTTGGAGGTCAGAACGTGTTCTAATAAAGAAACGCAATTTGACATTATTTGCCATTAGACGAGTCTAGATGCGTTTGGAGATATCCCAAGTATTTTTTATTTAAAAAAGTTCTGCTCTCTTATGGTATCGATCTCTATTCATTTCTTATCGCCACATGATATTTTCTCTTCAGCCTAACACAATCTTATGGTATTCAACATAGTACAGCAGATGAGCTTCGACCACGATACCTAAAGAATACATGATATTGAACTTACCACAAAGCTACACATATTGCGTCAATCATGACTTCTATTGCCGTGTGATTTTATAGAGTGAAAAAACATCTTCCTAACACACAAGTAATGCTCATCCTACAGATTTGCTGACCCTTTTCCGAAAGAATACTACTTTATTGCGAATTAAAAATAATTTTATTCTGAAAAGTCATTTCTGAG